TGTCCTCGAGTCGGAGATCCAGCGTGCCAGGTCGGCTGTGATCCCCGAAAGTCTGGGCTCTAGACTCTAGGGTCTAGGGTTTAGGGTTGACTCTACCTAGACCCCAAAAGTATGTAGAATAATAGCCTTTTATGGGTTTTGGACCATTATCTTACCTACTTTTGGGGGTTTAGGTACCTACCCAATCTAAGCCACAGTCGTGGTCGTATCGAGCTCCAGAGTCTGCCGGGGGCGGCCTGCAGGGCTTCGGCATCTGTCGTCAAGGTCCTGGCTTATAGGGTTTATAGGGTATTATTATAGGGTTTATAGGGCCTATAGGGCTTATAGGGTGTATGGGGTTTATAGGGTTTATAGGGTTTATAGGGCTTATAGGGCTTATAGGGTTTATAGGGTTTATCGGGCTTATATGGTTCATAGGGTTTATAGGGTTTATAGGGTTCCACGAAGCCATCCAAAATCTTAGCCCCAACAGCCCGTAGGCTGGCAGTCCAGCAACCTCAAACTTAAAACCTGCCAAACACTGATCCTTATGTGCCCATAAGCCCTACACCAGATGAAGGGCATAGTTATTACGGACGTAAAGCAGTATTGTTCTTTTTCGCTTTAGTGCTGCTCGTCACCACGATTTCCAGATGCTTGGTACCTGCGCTCTTGCAGTCGTATGCTACTGTAGAGTCCCTAAACCCTAAACCCTAAACCCTAAACCGTGGCACTGTAGAGAAAGTGACACGTAGGTTGCGATTGAACAGCTGCTTGGGAGTGGCTAAGGGTTCAGAGCTTAGGCTTCAAGAAGCTGGGTTTAGGGTTTAGGTTTTTTTTGAGCGTTTTTGGGGGTTAGGGGTTTAGGGTTTCGGGGTTTAAGCAAACTATAACGACAGGATCTTTAAGACCCTGGGAAATGACTCCGCATGCCTCCACAACTAATGCCAACAAACTGGTCACTTCAAACTGGCAGGCGGGCCGGCAGGAAGCAGTTGGAGAATCGCTCCAGAAAATCATCAGTAACTAATAATCAAATTATACGGTATCTATCTAAAACTGTCACTCGAACACGAAGCTAGGATAGCTCATGAATTATCTTAGATCATCGGTTCTGAGGTCGATTGCACGATCCTGAAGCTAGAAGTGCCGCACCTTGCGGTTTGCACCCATCCGAAGCCTGCAATGTAGGGGCCTTAATAGTTAGAACGGGCTTTTGGCTTTTGAGGCATACTATACTATAGTTGTAATAAGAAACCCCCAGATTCGTGTAGGTGATTAAATTAGTAGGGCCACTATATTCAACCCTCAGCTCTGAACTTCATGTGTCCTCGCCGGATCACCTCGGCCACGTTTCGGCAGAAGCAGGCATGAGTCGGGAAGTGAAGTAACCCCAAGGATTTCGGGAATTGCCGGACAGCTCCACCTATAGTCTCCGTTGTAGTTCCTTTTTTGGTCTAACCAATTTTATATGAAGGATCCTCAAAGGTAACCCCAAAAAGGAACTACAATGGAGACTATAGGCAGAACCGAAAAAAGATGGCTGGCCTAGCACCTACACTGACCTAGGAACTTTCTTTACGAAAGCAAGGGGAACAGACTTGCATATCAAAAAAGGGCAGCATACGTTGTGCGAATGACGGCTGCAAGTCCAATCCACACGGTGAAGAAACTCAAAACAGCCTGAGCGCACAACCTAACTAAAATAAACCGAATCAACCGCCAAGTAAATGCTAAAACCAGGACGAGTTAGACCTTGGGGATCCGCAAGACTCTTCTGACTCCCAGTGAGTTTGAGGCTGGACCTGGAAGGGGCTCCGGAGGGGCTTATAGTAAGTTTACGATTCGTACACCAATTTGACACTGTAACCCTTGAGTATGCCTTGAGTATGTTTGCAGTATTGGGCATGCTGAACAAAGAACGTCATAATAAGAATAGTAATAATAATAATA